ACGATCAAAAAAGTCGAAGATTCGCGCGTGCGAATCTGGGTCACCAATTTATAGGACTAGTCTATACTAGTCCGGGAGTGTTGTCGCTCTGATAGGGATGCCAGAAAACTAGAAAGACGGACACAACGGATTGTATTCGCGGAAGGCTACAATCGAACGAAAAACGAATGAAGCGACGAGAGCGTACGTCAGTGCCGGAACTCACCGTGGAGAAAAGTGGTGAGCCGGATGCAGTTCATAATGGCCGTAGAGTCGGCATTAAAACAAAAAGCAATATTTTATGACTGAGTAATAAAGGTGTACAAAAAACAAGAAATATCTTTTGGGTTGCTACAATGCGTATGCAACCACATGAACATGCAGTGACCTTATTGCTATTCTTTCTTTTTCTAGAATAAACGCAAGAATCGATTATCACGTAGATGTCCTGGGAGCTCTTCTCGCTTGTTGAAACACGAAACAGGACGCTGGTTGATCTAAAGCGTATTTTGTCCCTGGATCCTCATTCCTGAAAATTTGAGGTTTCTAAAGCCTTGTACGGTTACTCCTCTTTTGTTCACTGGACCTTAACCAGGTACTAGCCGCTTGCACGCCATTGATCATTTACAAAAGGCGCATTTGCTTTGGCTCCTTGTCAGTTGATCATTTCGGGGGAACTTGTCTGCGTGCCCAGACAGAGGATTGTTTTAAAGAAGGATTAATCAAGTACCTACTGAGCATACTTACATTCCGTTGTTTTTGCTGTAGCCGTAACAATCCCTCGGGGAACACACTTAAGCAACGACGCGTCATCTAGCCAATGTACGGGAGGTGATGGAACGGACATGGATTTTCCCTTCCTCTCTCTACAACTTTATGAACTTCATCGCTATCTACTTCTTATCGGAGACCCTCCTGCAAGACATCAGCTCTGCCCTAACTTCGCGATCCCCTCCAAGTGACACCGGCAGCACTTTCTCATTGCGCCTGTCCGGTGACGATACAGCTTCGAGTAGCGGTCAAGCCGGTGTTGGTATTGCCCAGAGTCCTCGGAGCCTATCCGTTACCGGTAGCTCAGCTGGCTTGCACCTGTTGCATTTTATTCCCTTTTTTCTTAGGTATTGCGCCACAGTAACTGAGGTGTTTCTCACCTCTAGCTAACGTATATAATGATGATAAAGATGGTGTGACCGCACTTTCGACCGTCGCGCAGGTGGTGTTGCTTTGTACGTCAACAGCCCTTACAGTCTTTACGATGTATACACTGCGCACCCGCAGATTCTTTTTATATTTCATCCTCGCAACTGAAAGTTGTGTTGATCGATAGAAGCTCGATAGGGTTGAGGGTGGCCTAGTTGATGTTATCAGTAAACATTCGAGGGATATGTGTTTTGGGATGGTGAATTTTGATCGCCTCCACCTGGACTGCCAGAATTCCTCCTGCGATGCTGTTTCAATTTGTTTTGCTACTGCGTTCTCTAACTAGTCTTGAATGCTCCCCTGCATCAGTTCGCTGACTTGCCCACTAGATTTATGATTTGAAAAACCCGTCCCTTTTGGACCTATGCTAATAAATTCCCTGCCTTCGTCATGGACTTGGTATACAGCATAGAAGTCGAAGTACCGGGGGCTCTTGTTCGCTTATCTGTTCAAGAAACAGGACGCTGGTTAGGCGGAGGTCTGTATCCTCCTTGGAACCTGACCTGACTTCTCGGAGCTAGCGACCACGCTCGTCGGCATTTTAGGTGCGCTGTTAGTCGTATGACGAATGATCGTCCCCACTGGGACCCTATATAGGGCTCCCCAAGCAGGGAGCTGGGTCTCTACCTGTGGACAAATTAGAAGTAACGGCATTCATGCTTGCAGTTTGTCGAATGTCGGCACTGATGACAAACTGACACCTAATAGCCACGTGCGACGTCAAAGCTTTGAACCAGTCTGCCAGTCGGGCCGCACACAGCCGTCCAGTGATTTGATGCACACATGGATGTCAAATGGTATGCACCTACAATAGTCTGTTGCGCATATCGTCGGCATCACTGCAGGTAAGTGCACCGCATATATATACACCTGGCTTTTGGACCGCCAGTAGACATGTGCTGCCCGGATTTCTGGTTTGTTGGTGCAATGCTGTCTCGGAGTTCGTGGTGCCCTGCTTTCCACGGGATACAAACCATTTTTCAGTGTTGAAGCTTTGTGGGTTACGAGCGATTTACACACTAACCCGCAAGGTCGGGAATATTTGTGAAGGTTTTGAACGTCATAAAACGTTACTGTAGTGTGCCCCTGTACTTCGACTAGCCAAGTGCGTCAAACATTGGTTATTAAGTGACACTTTACTATGTCTTTCTGATACCCCTGTACTTGGCGCACATTGGTGCGCACCAGCATTTAGCATACACCATTGCAGTAATGCTGTCTCCTCTTTATGCAGCCTGGTCTATTAGTATGAAGTACAGCTTCCACCTGTCCGCAAACTGGCGGACAGCAGCAATGGTGTGTGGCAGAAATGGACACCACCTATTTCGGAAAGCAACTGCAGGTGAGTTTGTCTGCCCACAGGTCCGCAATTGCGGTCTTTTCTTCTCCTATGTTGCACCCGTCCATATGCAGCCTAGTCACAGAGTGAGAGGTGGCACGGCCATGCTATGTGATCAAGTGTTTCTCACCGAATCCAACGGCATTTTATTTCCGGATAATCATCTCCTGGACAGATATATTGTGAAAGACCCACGCTGACAGCCTGGATGTGCACAACATCGGTACCTCTTGAATCTGTAAGTCAACCTCGCGTTACATCTATGCATATTGTGTTCCAGTGTGTTTGTGGCACAATTTGCAATATACCGTTCCTCAGTACTTGCGCGTTGTTCGTCAAAACGCTTCCCATAATGACGTGAATATTTGGAATCGGTAAAAACATCCGCTTTGAATTTCATGACATGTTTCGGTACCTACGCGGTGCTTACGCAGCGAAAGGAATCTCAAACATTTGCATGCCATGACCCGAAAAACAAAATTACGTGTGACCCAGTAAACCTTGTACCAATGACATTGATGAAACCCATTCCATGCCTGCTTCTTGCAGCACCACTTTAGCCCAGGTCAGTGGCTTTGCTCGTAGCGATAATGTCGTCCGCTGTGGGATGTATATGAACCTAATCAATACTCCTGGTGGAGGTGCGCCGCGTCTATATTGCATAATTTGCCAGTGGCCAGTTTGATGCGATTGGTTTAGGACAAATATAGGCCGGTCAGAAAGGCAAGTGAAGCCAACAGCTGCTACCTCCTTAGTAGCGATGTTGATGCAGCTGCCAAAGGACTTATATGGGCACAGTAAACAACGTTCTGGAGGCGTGTGAAGTTCGAAGTATGTTTCATTAGCGGCGGTACTGATGACACCGCTATGCCGCTTACATGGGCTCAATAAGCGCCGGTAGCCAACGTCTGTGCAGCCAACAATCTCGCTACGCTAGTCGCCAGATTCTATGCGCTAAGCTTAGGACAACTACGAATAAGCCTTGAAGGCATGAAAATAAATAAATAAATAAATATTTTATTCTCGACTATGCGAGGCGCGCCCATTAAGGCATGATCAGGTATGTACAGCTGTACAGACATTTATGGGAACTGTAGTGACAGTAGAAAATTGTTCATATGTCCATGCTTGGAACTGTGTAATAGTGAACATGCGAAACAACGATTTGGTTGTAGTGGGATCGGGATCCATATGTTTGGGTATAATCGCTCTGCCATATATCGCAGTCATACCTCGACTAATAATAGATTGAGAATCCTGAGTGATCCATTGGAAGATAATTAAAGAGCAGGCTATCCAGTATGATGATTCTAATTGAGCTGCCGGTGTGAAGTTATAGGCTGTGACTTTATTCGGTGGCCAGTCACATTCGCCACGTTGCAGTGTTGTTAAACGGACATTTGTGGCTTTTTATAGGGAGAACGCTTGCCAGGCGAAAACCCACCACGTCCTGAAACATTGCCGCCAATCCATTGAATGGCAAGTTGTAACTGGCTGTGTTTCTTATTGAACGTTTTTTTGCTGCGTTATTCGCAGTCAAGTTGGGTCCCAATTTTCTGCAGACTGAGGCGTTATGCGAGTGGCCATTGCGTGCCTGGGTCCTCTCCTGTGCCAGATCGGTAGGTCAGGAACTAAACATTCTTTCTGGATATGATGTGTTAATCATCTGCAGAACCACGTGGAGTCTCGAAGAATATACGTTGAAATATGTTGAAGTCTTGGAGGACAGGATAGGTTCCGAAGAAAGAATCGCAGATCCTCCGGGGTATGTAGTGAAATTGATTAGAAATAGGGAAAACCACGGCCATTTGAGCGGTCAAAGCGGATTGAAGAGCATAGAATGACCGATTGTTTAAGCTTTGTATTGGCAGGAGAATGTGCCTTCCGTAGTCGAAAGTCCTCCAGTCAAGAGATATGTGGAAGAGGTATGGTTAGGTAAATTGAACTCAGTGGTTCATGCCGCGGAAGAATTGTATCAGTGCAAGCTATTGTATGATTTGTCCAGTTAGTACGTTGTAAAAAAGTTGATAATTTTCCGCGCATGTCCAGGTAAAGGAACTGTGTGCCTTGTATTTTTGTCGAAACGGAGGACAATTCCTTGGGTGCGTGTCGCCGTACCTGTGACAGACTCGGGAGAAAAAGGAAACGCATGTTGCGTAAAATATTACAAAATCACAAAATTATATTTTCTTGATGTACATAGCAAATTAGCCGCCCGCCTGTTTGAACGTCGCTCGCGTTTGTTTAAGTCAACATAACATCCGCCTTCGAACGGCGCGACGCTCATCGGCTCCGCGGCCATCTTTGCTCTCCGCGCACGCGACCACACCTTTCCCCTAGCTAGCTATCTTCTGGTGCCTTATTTTTCGCAGTAGATAGCATTTCGACCCACTTAATAAATTTTTCCTAGCGTTACTTTTGGTGTTCTCCACTCATCGGAGGTTAGCCTTATATTCGCGTATTGGTTCTAAAGCGTACCGATCCTGCTTCTCGCTTTATTGGTGACCCCCGACTTTTGGTCATTATCCGGTGAGTTTTCGCTAACCTTTCTTTTCAGATTTGGCCACATTTTTTCGCTAACCCGTCTGATTTTCACTTTTCATTTTCCGGTTTAATCTCGCTGGCTCGCTATTTTGCTCGCTATGGAAACTGATCGCGTAGATTCTGACGTTCAGATCGGCACAGTTACGCTTCCTATCGCACCTTTTCGCGAGACTAATCCTAAGTCTTGGTTTGGTCAGCTAGAGTCGCAATTTTCTTTGCGTGGTATTAGGTCCGAAAAGACCAAGTTCCACCTTGTCGTTTCCGCGCTTCCGCTAAATGTCATCGATGACATTGATGACATTCTAGATCTTCCTGACGACCAAAAGACTTACGATGCAGTCAAGACAGCTGTTCTGAGAAGAACAGGCTTATCCGATCGACAACGAGTTACGAAACTCCTCAACGAAACCGATCTTGGCGATCTTAAGCCGTCTCAGCTGCTTCGAAAAATGCAGAGCCTAGCTAAACCCACTTCGATAGATGATTCTTTTCTTCGGGAAATGTGGTTGCAACGACTTCCGCGCGAGATGCTACACATCCTCTGCGCTAGTGAGGATGCACCTTTATCCAAACTGGCCGATACAGCCGACCGAATTTGGGAGTCGTACGGCCAGGTTTCGCAGGTCCAGACGAAACCGGACGACGATATCGCCACGCTTAAATCCCAGATGGCAACATTGACTCGACAATTCGCAGACTTTTCGGCCTCCGGACATAACCGCTGTAAATGCTCTAGGAGCCGTTCGCGTTCACGTTCGAACTCTCCTTCGCGATCACCGAATAGAAACGGTTACTGCTGGTACCACGAACGATTCGGCCAGCAAGCTAAATCATGTCGCCCGCCCTGTTCCTTCAAACGACAGCAGCAGGGAAACGGGCGGACCAGCACGTAGGGGCGACGGACGTAGCTGGTCAACGCAGTCGCCTTTTCTTCGTCACCGATCGTAGAACCGGAGTTCGCTATCTCGTCGATACTGGCGCAGAAGTCAGCGTTCTCCCGCGTGATCCAAACGACCCGACCGAAAAGGTGACTAGCTCATTGCGCGCAGCTAACGGGACCATTATCCGCGTATATGGTCAACGCTCGCGCACGCTAAATCTCAGCCTCCGACGCGCTTTCAAATGGATATTCCTCGTTGCGGATGTTCAAACGCCTATCCTTGGTCTCGACTTCTTACGTCATTACGACCTACTCGTCGACGTTAAGCGACACCGTCTAGTCGACCGCCTTACGAATCTCGCAGTCATTGGGACTTTGACCGACACCGCGTCAATCAGTCCCGTGTACGCGACTCAACTTAGTTCACCCGTCGGGCAAACGCTGCTCGATAGTTTTCCGCAGGCCTTCCGTCCTGCCGTCCCGTTGCCTTCCGCAACCGACGCCGCGACACATCACATCGTTACGAAAGGTCCGCCTGTGTTCGCAAAAGCCAGGCGCATGACCCCCGACAAGCTCAAAATTGCACGCTCCGAATTCGAGCACATGCTAGACTTAGGCATTATTCGCCCTTCTAAGAGCCCGTGGGCGTCGCCTCTACACATGGTGCCTAAAAAGTCAGGAGACTGGCGTCCATGTGGCGACTATCGCGCTCTCAATAACACTACCGTCCCTGACCGCTATCCGATTCCGCACATTCAGGACATCACGGCTAGCCTACGTGGCGCCCGTGTGTTCTCGAAGATCGATCTGGTTCGCGCTTACCACCAGATCCCTGTAGCCGAGGATGACATTCCGAAAACCGCAGTCATCACGCCTTTCGGACTTTTCGAATTCTTGCGAATGCCCTTCGGTCTTCGCAACGCAGCTCAGACTTTTCAACGCTTCATAGACTCTGTCACGAGAGGTCTCGACTTTGTTTATCCTTATATAGACGACATCTTAGTAGCTAGTTCTTCCGAAGAACAGCACGCGGAGCACCTCAAGATGCTTTTCGAGAGGTTAGCCTCTAATAGCATTACTGTCAACGTTGACAAATGCATCTTTCAGCAACCATCTATCGAATTTCTTGGTCATCGAATTGACCAGCAAGGCATACGGCCGCTCGAAGACCGAGTCAGCGCTATTAAGGACTTTCCCGTTCCGACTACTTTGGCCGCCATCCGCCGTTTTAGTGGGATGATCAACTACTACCGTCGATTTCTGCCACGTTGTGCCGACTTGCTCAGTCCATTGACCGACTTACTTCGTGGACGCTAGAATGGCAACGTCGGGTTGATGCCCGCTGCAACCGAAGCCTTCAAGGCCTGCAAAGAGGCCTTGTCTGAAGCCGTTATGCTTCACCATTTCGACCCCAAGGCTCCGCTCAGCGTTGCAGTCGATGCATCAGACACCGCCATTGGCGCCGTCCTGCAGCAATTCACTGAGGGATGCTTGAAACCACTCGCTTTCTACTCCCGACGCTTACAACCGGCAGAAGTCAAGTACAGCACGTTCAGCCGCGAACTGCTGGCAGTTTATTCTACCGTCCGACATTTCAGGCACGTCTTAGAAGATAATTCGTTCGTTATCTTCACCGATCAGAAGCCGCTTATTTACGCCTTTCGAAATCAATCAGCTCGACACTCACCACGTGAGGTTCGTCAGCTGGATTTCGTGGCTCAATTTTCTACTGACCTCCGACACATTTCAGGTCAGAATAACGTCGTTGCTGACGCTCTTTCGCGCGTCTCCGCAATCCACACCGCTGGCCAGGCAATCGACTTATCTGCCATGGCTACCGCGCAACTAACCGACACTGACTGTCAGAACGTCAAACAAGATTCTTCGCTACGAATCACATCGCATCCACTGCCGTCATCTGATGGCACAATCTTGTGCGATACTTCTACTGGACGACCTCGACCCGTCGTTCCAGAAACCTTTCGACGTCTAGTTTTCGACACACTTCATAACATCGCTCATCCAGGCATCCGAGCCACGATCAAGCTCATATCGGAGAGATACGTTTGGCTCGGAATGCAACGCGATCTTAAGCGCTGGGCACGCGGTTGTCTAACGTGTCAGCAGGCCAAGATACAGCGGCACGTGTCCGCTTCGCTTGGTCGTTTTCCGCAAGTCTCAGCTCGCTTCGCCCATGTCCATCTCGACATAGTTGGACCCTTGGCACCATCCAGAGGAATGGTCTACATTCTGATCATGATCGACCGATACCCCCGTTGGCCCGAGGCCGTACCTATACCCGACGTATCCGCGGACACCGTAACGCGCGCTTTCGTTGAGCGCTGGGTCGCTTCACATGGCTGTCCAGCCACCGTGACTACCGACCGCGGTCCGCAGTTCGAATCCTCGACTTTCAACGATCTTCTCAAAGTCCTCGGATGTCAACGCATCCGGACTACCGCCTCTCACCCGCAATCCAACGGCATGGTGGAACGTTTCCACCGACAGCTGAAGGCCTCACTTAGTGCCGCTAATGCACTAAGCTGGACCGAAGAACTGCCAATGGTACTACTTGGTATCCGATCAGCTCTTAAAGCTGATATTCACACGTCCAGCGCCGGACTGGTATATGGACAACCTCTTCGACTGCCTGGGGACTTCTTTCCTGGAAACCCCAGAACACCCCGCTACGACGCGAATTACGCTCGGCAGTTAGCCACGAGCATGCGCCATATCAAAGTAACCGACGTGCGAGAACAACGACGTAAATCGTTCGTTCCACAAGATCTACTGCATTGCGCTTACGTTTTCCTTCGAGTCGACGGTCTACGCAGACCACTCGAACGACCCTACGAAGGTCCATTTAAGGTTCTTAAAGGTAAGGACCGCGTATTCGTTGTCGACCGCCACGGCAAACGTGAAACTGTCTCTATCGACCGTCTCAAGGTTGCCCATGTGGAACCTGAGATCGACGATGACTCCCGTCCACCTACGGACGAGTCAACGCAGCCTATGATCGACGACACGCCTACTTCCGATGCTACGAAGCATTCTCCGACTAACCCTTCCGACTCAGTTCCTTCCGATACTATCGAGCCGAAAGCTTCCTCATCCGACAAAACTGCTGGATAGACAACGCCTCCGACCGAACGTCCGAAATCGACTAGGTCAGGTAGGCGGGTTCACTGGCCAGCGCGATTAAAAGCTTATTCATCTTTTCATTCTTCCTTTCCCGCTTCCTTTTTGTTTGTGGCCTAACCCGTCCCACAAAAACGTTCTGAAAACCCAAAAAATTTGCAAAGCGTTTTGAAAACCCCAAAACCGCAAAAACGTTTTGAAAACCTAAAAGGGAGAAAATCGTTTTGAAAACACAAAATGGTTCTCGCCTTATTTGATTATCGCACTCGGTAAGTGCTATCGCCTTTTGTAAGCTCTGTCGCTCGCACCTGTTTGACACACCGCGTTTTCGCTTCTTTTTCATATCCCGGACACGCGGACGTTCAACGACAATCGATCGTTACGTTTTCGGACACTACGTGCTCAAACATCATGTGCTGTGACACTACGCACTCGAACGCTACGAACATTTCCCCCATTTTGTGTTTTTGGCACCTGTTGGGAGGACACGCGTGGGAGCCCCCCTAGCGTCCGATCGCATTGGTTCTCCCCCAGCAGCTGCATCAGGTTTCACCGCCTGGTCTCGCAGAAGGCTGGCCGGAGACGGACAGTCCTAACGTAGATCGAAGGGTCACCTACGGTTCCCTTCTAAGAGGGGGGCTGTGTAGTGACCTGGAGATTCCCCTGTTTGGCTGCCGCATGCTGCGTAAAATATTACAAAATCACAAAATTATATTTTCTCGATGTACATAGCAAATTAGCCGCTCGCCTGTTTGAACGTTGCTCGCGTTTGTTTGAGTCAACACGGCATCCGCCTTCGAACGGCGCGACGCTCATCGGCTCCGCGGCCATCGTTGCTCTCCGCGCACGCGACCACACCCTTCCCCTAGCTAGCTATCTTCCAATGCCTTATTTTTAGCACTAGATAGCATTTCGCCCCACTTAATAAATTTTTCCTAGCCTCACTTTTGGTGTTCTCCACTCATCGGAGGTTGGCCTTATTTTCGCGTATTGGTTTTAAAGCGTACCGATCCTGCTTCTCGCTTTAAGGTGAGCGCCGGAGTGGAATAGAAGGTATGGATAACAGGAAGCGAAAGCCGATCAACCCCTCACCTGACAACGTGTTACCGTGACTTTCGCGGACCGGCTACAATTAATGAAAGCATCCTATCCGACACTTGGAAATAACGTTCCTTGGGCAGTGTGATTCCGGTACGCGAGGTTGCAGGTGATGTGAGGTAACTTTGGGGCCATTGAATCCATAGTAATGTTTATTAATAATTGAGGATGCTTGCTGAAATCCTACGACCTCAATTAGTAATCAGTATACTAATGGGTTTAAATGCGCTACGATGATTATTCATCTTCCCGCTGCATGCGCAGCATTTAGAGGGTTGCCTATTCCGGGAGCCCAGAGAGCGATTCCAGAAGACAGATCGAGTTGCAGGGAAACTTTTATTGGTACAGTTAAAGATTCCCTGTTATCTAGCTATAAAAGAACGACACCGTGGACGCTCTAGCTAGGGGAACGGATCAAGCACAGCACACATGGCAGTTGCGCGTTGCAACCGAAACGAGCGCCAAGCAAAAATGGCGATGAGCAAGTAAAGCATTCGAACTCAGCAAGCAGTTCAACAAACCACACCGGTTGCCTAGGTGTACAATTATAGAATTTTGGTTAGAATTTTACACAGGCAAACCGGGGAATCTCCAGACCGCTACATAGCACTCTCCCAGAACGGACTTTGTAAGCAGTCCTTCGATCTACGTGCGGACTGTCCGTCGCGAGCCAGCCTCCTGCGAGACCAGGTTGTGAAACCTGATGCAGCTGCTGGGAGAGAACCATGCAATCAGACCCTAGCGGGCTCCCACCCGTGTCCTCCCTACGGTGTCGAAACGGTAAAAAATTGTTTGTGGGGCACAGTTAGTAAAGTTCACGTAGGCGGTTGAACAGGAAGTTCGTTCCACTGGCAGTTGACGTGCGGAAATCCAGCGAGAATTGCAACCGAGGGGCAACCAACCGACGGTGTATATGGAAAGCAAAATGAGAAAGCAGCATAAATGCATAGCCATACACAAAAGAGGGTAAAGCGAAAAACGTGCAAAGCTGTTTTTGGGTTTTCAAAAGGTTTTGCTCCTTTTTGGCAGTTTCAATACGTTTTGATCTTTTTTGTGGATTTTCAAAAACGTTTAATAAGAGCAGAAAATTTCTAAGGCACGTTCTACGTAAAATAGTAAGTGCTAACAAAGTCCGAAAAACGAACTGGAGGCTTGAGTTTCCTACCGCGTCGATTGATAGTAGGGCGAGTAGGAGTGCTGTCGGTTGTGGTTGTCGGTTCCGCTGGAGCGGGCTGACTCGTCTGCGTTTGCGTTGCCGGCTGTGATGGCACGGGCTGTGAAGGTGCTTGTTGCACTGGCCAGTCAGACTTGTCGAGGAATGCTGGCTTGAGTCGATCGATGGTGATCGTCTCAGTAGCCTTGCGTCGTGGCTTGCTTACGTCGGGATCAGCTTGTTGGGCAGCAGCCATAACGGCTAGATCAATGTTGATGCCAGGCGATAAGCTGTTCTGCTGAATGCGTGAAAGCGCATCCGCGACGGGATTGAGAGCACCTGAGACATGTCGTACGTCTGTCGTAAACTGAGAAACGTAGTCTAGGTGTCTAGTTTCCCGCGGAGAATACTTGTCTGTTGCGCCATTGAGTGCGTCGATCAATGGCTTGTGGTCAGTAAAAACTGTAAAATTTCGACCTTCGAGATAATGACGGAAATGTCGGATACCTAGGTAGATAGCTAACAGTTCCCTACCGAAGGTGCTGTAACGCGATTCGGCAGGTTGTAAACGTTTCGAGAAGAAACCTAGAGGTATCCATCGATGGTCGATGAGTTGCTGAAGAACTGCACCGACGGCAGTGTCGGATGCGTCCGTCTTCAGGGAGAGTGGTGCTGATGTGTCTGGATGGGCGAGAAGCGCTATGTTGGAGATAGCGTCTTTGAGCTTCTCGAAAGACAATTTAGCGTCGTCTGTAAAGTGAAAAGAGCGTTGTTTACCGCGGAGCAAGTCAGTCATTGGTTGAACAATGCTCGCGCAGTTAGGAATAAAACGTCTATAATAGTTAACCAGGCCAAGAAATCGACGTAACTGCTTGAAGGAACTGGGAGCAGGGTAGTCCTTCAGTGCCTGGATTTTGTCTGGCAGAGCTTCAATACCAGAGGCGGATATGCGGCGGCCAAGGAAGTCGATGGAACTTTGACCAAGCTCGCATTTATCGGGGTTGATGGTGACCACATGCTGGGTTAAGCGTTGGAAGAGAGCGTCGAGTTGATGAAGATGTTGTTCATTAGAAGAGCTCGCGATAAGAATGTCATCTAGATAAGGATAAACGTCTTCGAGTCATTGCGTTACCTCATGAATGAAACGCTGAAAAGTTTGGGCAGCGTTGCTGAGGCCGAAAGGCATTCTGAGGTACTCGAATAGGCCAAATGGCGTGCTGACTGCTGTTTTAGCAATGTCATTTGGTGCGACAGGTATCTGGTGGTAGGCACGAACTAAGTCGACTTTGCTGAAGATAGACTTGCCAGCTAGAGCTGAGGTCAAGTCGTGCATGTGCGGAAAAGGGTATTTATCCGGGACGGTAACTTTGTTAAGTGCCCTGTAGTCACCACAGGGTCGCCAGTCACCGGTTTTCTTAGGCAACATGTGTAATGGCGATGCCCATGGACTTTTGGACGGGCGGATGATTCCCAGTTCGAGCATTTGCTCGAATTCCGCCTTAGCAGCTTTGAGCTTGTCCGGGGCTAGTCGGCGAGGGCGGGCCGAAACAGGTGGGCGCTTAGTAAAAATGTGATGCATGACGTTTGACGTCACAGGAGGCAAGTCGTTCAGGATGCGAACGAGGTTAGGATGCTTGTTGAAAAGTTCTAGAAAAGACTGTGAAGCTTGAGGTAGGACACGAATGGGAGTAATAGCAGCCACGTTGGCGCTAGTCCCGATAACACTGAGCTGTGTCCTAGAGTCGATAAGCTTCTTCCTTTTAGCGTCGACGATGAGGTCGAAGCGTTGAAGAAAGTCTATGCCTATGATGGCGAAAGGCACGGCAGCGATTATGAAAGGCCAGCGAAAGGTTCGCCGGAGGCCTAAATTGATCGTTAGCAGCTTTTCGCCGAAAGTTGCGATTGGTGTGCCATTGGCGGCACGCAGCTTGGTCGGCGATGGTGAGACGACCTCACCTGGGCTTCGGGGTATAACGCTAACTTCGGCTCCAGTGTCGACTAGAAACTCGGTGCCGGAAGTTAAATCCCTAACGCGGATGAGGCGACTTTGGTGTTGGCCGGTCGCGTCCGTCGCCGTTACCGACCGACCGAATTTTCCCTGCTTCTCGGCAAAGTTGCAAGGCTTTACACATTTAGGAGCTGCGGTACCAAAACGCTGGTGGTACCAACAGCTAGCTAGCCTGTTGCTAGACTTAGAACGTTTGCAGGGCGATTTCGAGCGGCTATGACAACGACGGTCCATAGTAAGCTGCTGGACCTGGCGACTAAGTGTCGCAACTTGTGTTTGCAGGGCTTCTATAGTTGACTGTAAGCCAGTGATAGAAGTGCCCTGGGACGCGACGGCATTCATCTTGCTGGCGTTTGCCTGTGGCTGTGATCGTTCAATAACTCGATCCGCTAAATCTGCTAGTTGAGTGAGCGGAACGGAGCTCACTGTAGCGAGAATCGCTTGCGTGTTTTCCGGTAGCCGTTGTAGCCATAGTTCGTGAAGTAAAGTCTCGTCCATGGCTGAGGAACCAAGGAGTAGCTGCCTCTCTCGTAGAAGGGTTGAGGGCAGTTTGTCGCCCAGCTGCAGATCCCTGAAAAGCTGCTGCAGGCGAACTTTCTCAGAGGGCATAACACGCTTAATCGCGGCTTCCTTGAGAGCCTCATAGCGGTTATCGGTCTGAGAAATGATAACATCACGAACCTGCAATGATATCTCCTTGGGGAGAGAGGACAGGAGCTTGCAATACTTCGCGTAGTCCGAAGTGATTCTGTGGTTATAAAATTCAGCCTCAAGATGAGTGAACCACAAAAGAGGATCCAAGTCCCA